CAGAAATAAGGGACTCGCTTCTGCCGAGGTCAAGAGGAGAATGATTCCCTTTATACAACAGAAAGAAAACAACTCGGAGATTTTTATACACGGCGAGTCGGAACTCGAGATCGAATTCGGAGAGTTCGGAGATGGGTTTGGAGACGCGCAGGTTCGGGTGCTTTGGGTCACCAGCAAGTCCACAGAATACAACAATTCTGAGCAAAGTTTGTTATAAGACTGATGATACAGATTCACGAGTACTAAATTGCGCTTACAATCCATGTCAAAGCAACCTATCGGTTTAGTAAACGAGCCGTCATAGGCTGTTGATCATTCCATTCATCACTGACTAGCCACTGGGAATTCGTGGAAGAATGAGAAAGGCTCTTTTGGGATGCTTTACACTTTTCTGTTTCAAACTCCCTGCTTGCTTCAAGCTGGACAGAATATTGCTGTTTGTGATCACCGCCTGCGAGAAGAAAATCCCAGTCCTATCCTTCGAGCGTCCTCTGAAATGAATGGCAGGATACCAGATTTAGACTTGGGTTCAGCGCAGGCGGGAGTATGAGGAAGCAAGACGAAGTCAAATAACGACCGAGTTCATTGTGTTTGGTTTGTGTCACCCACACCAAGTTGGATAATTTCGGATACCGAAGAAAAAGAAACAAAAGAGATAGTTTTCAGAATTACGACCAACGTACGGTATACTGTAAATGAAACCAAGCTGCGGTATGTAATACTAGATTTTTCTCGTGAGTCTGCGATCTATTTCAACATGGATGTCCTTCATGAGCGCTGATCCGACCCCTCAAGCAACTTGGATCAACACGCAAGCCCACATAGAACTATTCGATAGATGAATTCCTCCAATACCAAGAGCTTGGCAGTCTCGGATGTTTCTTTAGTGGGTAAGACACGCCGAAGTCTGTCGTTTCGGCTGAGGAAACTCCGTCGACAGCGTGGAAGGCCGTATCCAGTGAGCCATCGATCAGCCCAAAATCATGGCACAGGAGCAGCTGTCACCAAACAGGGTATGCAAACAGTTCTTGGAACTAGGCGATTGTAGAGCCCTTGGAGCTTATTCAGTACACCAATCCCTCTGAAACGGGATCCGGTCTCTGATGATAATTCCAGAGGAGGGTAATTATGTGGGCGATGTCTGATATTTACTTGCAAGAATGAGAAAGCCTTGCGACGCACAACGGGGCATTCGCCCAGACCCCAAACCAGGAGATAGAATATTATCAGAAGATTATGGGACAGTGTAGCGGATGTTTCTTCAGGGATGGTAGCTATGTTTCTTAAGAATACATAGATTTGCGCTTAGTGAGTCAATGATCACGGACGACAAAATGCTGGGCTTGAGGAGCAAATAAGGACTCAGAAGTAAGGAGCAGAAAAGCAAAGCAAACGCCGATATAGCTGTTGCGGTCTTTATGGCTCGTCGATTCTTCAAGTGGCTATTTGTGACTATTGGGAGAGAAAAAAAACCATAGCTTGAATGGTTTCTGACCGTGTTTGCTATTGATAGGGTTATGGGACGATTCAACTTACTATGCTGTGCTACCCGAGACGACATCTTGACGAGTAGAATGTTTGCTTCTTAAAAGTTTGCAACAAGGCAATCGTCGAAACAGTCTAGATCAGCTGGCCACCGCCGCCATCCTCAGAACGATGACACCTGACACTGCTGCGGAAGCTGGAAAGCTTCAAGGGCTTTGGTTCGTCGATTTCGACGTCAAGGTACGTAACTAGCTCTCTGTTGATGATCCTCCCTCGGCTGCAGCAGTCGTCCCCTGTTCGACCCAGCGCCGGCCGAGCGGCGCAGCCATGCAGCCCTATTCTTTTGGCCCTTCTCACGTCGTATTGTCGCTCGCCCAGTGACACGTCGACTGACAAGAAGGAAAGATGGTCAGACGAGTATGGAATCACAATGAGTCCTAGGCGGTCATTGTACGCTTTGGGCTTGGTTTGCGAACCTGTCGTGAATCCATTGGGATGGAGGGGCAAACAGCCACCGGAGATGCAGACTACCAAGAACCGACGGCGTGGCACGGCGGCCAAGATGGGAGCCTGTCCAACTTATTGGAGATCTTGTCGTTGAAATTAGCTTCAGGTCTCGTGCGCTTGGATGCAGAATGAGTGACTGACGCCCAATGGCACGTCGTAGAAGGGTCAAAGTTGCCGAGGTTCGACAAGAGAGAGGGGGTTGGAGGATGTTTCTGCTTGGTCTGGACTGGGCTTTGATGTTCGACTACGTTAGTCTGGCATGTAGTCAACGATGTGCGACGGATGTTGGTCATGCAGAAGAGGGTGGCGGCGTGTGTGCATCCTAACAACCCCATGGGCTTGTAGCAAGGAGAGGAGAATGTGGTGCATGATCTGTACATGGTGTGTGGCGGTGCCAATGCTTCTTGGTTTGTTATCAACGGCAACACGCCGAGGTCGTTGGCATGCAGGGCGAATCAAGGAGGGAACACCAATCATCTAAACATTAAGGGACCATGTCTGGGTTTGTTTCCCCGACGCCAAATGCAAGGGAGAGTGAAGACAGTGTCTGAACCGCAGTCACGGTAGTGAAATCTTGCACTTTTCTGAGTTGAGGTGCACTAGGATGCATGAGACAGCTGTAGACAAAGATCGCTGCGTCGGGGACGGGGAAGGGTCCGGGAAACGAATGGTGGTTCATCTGAAGCATCTCGCCGCAATGCGGTTGGGGAATGCCATGGTCTGGTTTCGATGCATTCGAAGACTGTTGACGGAGAGCTACACGTTGAAAGGGTTGCGCGAGGCTTCGCCAAGATTGACGGAGGCATCTTGGCATCCGGTGGCGGGCAATGCTCTCTGTGATACCTAGACGTAGTACGGGTTGTACGAAAGTGTATTTCTGGCTCAGCTTCGACTGACTGAGCCTAATGAGGTCTCGGGGCTCCATTCGAACAACACCCCGGGACACAATTCATGAAGCGCGTGAGTGAGAGAAGACAGGAACTTTGTTCCAACTAGTCTAGTGCGCCAAACCGTATTCCAATTTGCATCGCGTGTCTTGGTCGTCAAGAGTTAACGTCCATTCCCCAACCGTTTCTGTGCTCTCTGGCTCTTCTCTTCATTCTAGCCATGTCAAGTCTCGGCAAATCAGTCGCAACTAGCAAATGCATTGCTGTGCCTCAATGCCCATGTCGGTGCCCGCATCGGGTTGACATGCGATGGGACACGCTCCACATGGTTATGTCACTTCTGCAAGATGTTCTCCCGCTTGTGTCATTGAATGTGAAGAAGAGGCAAATCATTGCCCGGTGATTATTCCGTGGCCCTGCCTGCACTCTCGTCCGCCCCCTACTGCTCCGTCGATCCTCTGCCGCCTTCGCACCTCACCTCTCAACCTATCTCTTGCCTGCTTGTACTGCCACTGTCCCCGGCCGTACATCATCAGAGTAGGTAACGGACAACAAAAAGTTTCCAGTGTCACTCCCATATTCCCCAGCAATGCCCTTCCACCCTAGCACATTCTCGGGTCTCATCGCGTGGGCGTGCATGCCTTAGTCTCAGCTTCACGTCTAGAGCCGAAACGGACAATCCGCCGGCAGACGGGCCAATCGCATAACCGCCAAGTCCCTCCGTCGCAAAGTACCGAGTCGAATTGAACCGAACCATGATCAGATTTGACCAACTTACTTTGAATTCACTGATCCGTATCCTGTCATCTGAGTAGCCATGCGCCTTGTCCCCCCTTTCCCCGGCTTTCTTCCCACTAGGGACGGCGCCTCCTCCTCACCACCCACACGGGCGCCACGGAGGCCGGGATGGGGAGGAGGCTCCATACCCTCCACACACACCCCATATCGTGCGTTTTACCCCGCAGTCAGAGCCTGGGACGAACCCACCCTAGGCTTTCATACCCCGGATTAAACACTGGTCTGCGTTTGCTAGGCTAGGTGGGTGTGGTAGTTGAGGAATGGGCAGTGAGTGCCACCCAGGTGTTGGGACACTGGATATGGGCTGAGGTGTAGGAAATTGCCAATTGGTATCCGGGAACGCTGGGCGTTTGCCGCTGTCTTTCCTTCTCTATATCCCTGTAACTCAATTAGATTGTCTCTGCCGTATAGTTTCCCTGGTAGCAATGTTAACACTTGCTTGTCCCGTTACGCGGTGTCGAAATGTCTTGCCTCTGATGGCTAGAGGGAATCCCATGGCTGCATGTCCCACGCTCCCACACACACAACTCGATATCCCGATCCCAATGCGGCGCTACGGCCATTCCCTTAATCGTAGAGTACTGTTTTCTTGTTAACAGGCTTCTTCCTGGGTTCCTTACCGCCACCCTCGGTATCTTCTCGTCTTGTTTCGAGTTTGATTGGTTCCCCCGCAGCAACTGAGAGCAGCACCGGGGGTGGTTCCCCTCCCCATCCGGGGCGGGGATGTTTGCCAACCTGTACCAGCTAGACCTCTTTTCGTGTGTTTTTTTCTGGAGAAATGGGGGAAAGGAGGACGCCGGCTGTTTGGATGGCCTCAAGACCCGGTCAGTCTTGGCTTTGGCCCTTGTGCGAGTGTGTCTCGTCTCTCAAAGGTTAGGGGCCCGAGGCGGGGAAGAAGGGGTTGTCATGTTCGTGGAGCAACTGGACCGGGGGCTGGATGCCGAACAGATACAAAAGGGTTGTGTGAGTATCGCTATCGAAGATCATCGTACCATCCGATAGTTCTCTCAGGATCTCCGCTTCTTGAATAGAAAACCTTCAGGCTTCCCCCCTTCTCGAGTCTCCTACCTGTGTCTGCTTGTTCCACATCCTTATTCGAACGGCATTCCTGTGTCTGTGTGACCCAAAGGCCCAGACCCTCCGACCAACCAAGCCCCCTCACTCCCTTGGCCGAACTCTGAAGTGACGCACATCTTGCAGCTTCTGTGCGTTCTTCCCCGCGGCGACCCTATTTCTGGACAGCAGTCCCTCGGCTTGCGCATCCGTTGTCGAATTCTCCGACTGTTGGACGGCTCAGAAACCTCAACCACGATCGCCGCCATCATGGACCGACCAGCCCAGGACCCCGAGAAGGCCGGCTTTGAGCACGCTGACGAAGTCGGAAGCACCTCGCTCAATGGCTCCCATGATATTGATATCGATGCCGGGTTTACGCCTGAGGAGCAGCGCAAGATCATCCGCCGCATTGATCGCAGACTTGTCGTGACTGTTGGCGCTATGTATTGCGTCTCGCTGATGGACCGGACGAACTTGTCTGCAGCCGCTATTGCGGGCATGACCAAGGAGCTAGCTCTTTACATTGACAACAGATACGTGAGTGCATCCTGCTGACGCTCATTTGATAATGAAAGATGGCTGACCTGCGGTGTGAACAGAGCATTGCCTCACTCCTCTTTTTCATTCCATACATCATCTTCCAGCCGCCTTCGACCATTGTCGTCCGCAAGATTGGCCCCCGTCTTCACCTCGGCGGGCTCACCCTATTGTGGGGTGCCGTTATGATCGGTATGGGCTTCTCTCGCAAATACTCGCACTTGTATGCGTGCAGAATCCTGCTGGGTGTCCTCGAGGCCGGCTTCTTCCCCAGCTGCGTCTACCTCCTCAGCACATGGTACACTAGATGTGAGTCCTCCTTCGTCGAAACCATATTCGCTGCAGTAGACTGACCATACCAGACGAGGTCGGAAAGCGATACTCGGTCTTCTACCTCCTCGGCTGCGTGGCTTCCGCCTTTGCCGGTATCCTTGCCTACGGTCTCATGCAGATGAACGGCCAGCAAGGACTCACAGGCTGGCGCTGGATCTTCATCATCGAGGGTGTCCTGACCTGTGTCCTCGGCATGGCTGGCTACTGGCTGCTTGTCGACTTCCCCGACTCCAAACGCAAGGACTGGAGCTTCCTGGGCGAGCGTGAGCGTGCTTGGGTCGTCGCCCGCGTGAACCGCGACCGTGGCGACGCCCACATGCCCGCCTTCAACATGCGGAGGTTCCTGGGCGCCGGCGCCGACTGGAGGATCTGGGCGTACGCCATGATCTTCTTCAACACCACCACCGTCTCCTACGCGCTTGCGTACTTCCTGCCCATCATCTTGCAGGCCAACATGGGCTTCGACGTCGGTGCCGCGCAGTGTCTCGTCGCGCCGCCGTACGCCTTTGCCGGCATCGTCATGTTCGCCACCGCCTGGCTGGGTGACAAGATGAAGTTCCGCGGCCCCGTGATCCTCATCAACATGGCGTTCTGCATCGTCGGCCTGCCCATCATGGGCTTCCACTCGAGCGCCGCGGTGCGCTACTTTGGCGTGTTCTTGACGACGGCGGGCGCCAACTCCAACGTCCCCGCCGTGATGGCGTACCAGGCGAACAACATCCGCGGCCAATGGAAGAGAGCTTTCTGCAGTGCGACACTAGTATCGTTCGGTGGTATCGGTGGTATTGCCGGTAGCTTGCTCTTCCGTGAGCAGGACAAGCCTCACTACCGCCCGGGCATGTATGCCTGCATCGCCTGCAGCTTGTTGACCGTTGTCTTGGTTGGCTTGTTGACTCTTGACGCCTACTCCAAGAACAAGAAGGCCGACCGGGGCGAGAAGGAACTTGAGGCTGATGATGTAAGTTTCTCACCCATGCTTCGGATGTGTGGAACGATTGCTGACTTGCATTCACAGGAGGGTGCCCAGCACGGCTTCCGGTACACCTACTAGGGATGGCTGGCTATGTGAATGCGTGCGTTGATGATTTATGAACGAGGTATGAGGGTTCCCAGAACGTTCCATGGGATTTGAAGGACGTCGAGCCACTGCCATAGCATTATATCATATCCAAGTACCAAGGCGTGTGCCGATGAATAATAATGAGCAAAAGCCTTAATACCGACATTGCGGTCACACTGGTGTTTATGTGATCCGGCACACAGCATGGAATAGTAATCGTCGAGTGATCGACCCCGGAATGCCGAGGCTTGCGACGGCAACAGACGAGCGGCGCATGGTTGGCGGCTGCGACATTCGTGTAGAGGACTGGGACATGGTCGCGCTAGGCGTTTTCGGCGATGATGGTTGGACGCCGGCGCCCCGACAGAGGGGACCAGTCCGTGTAGGCCTCGGTGCCGGAGTCGTCCGTCAGCTACCTCCGGGAGAGGTTGTGCTTGGTGGTAAGCGCTATGTTGAACGTCTTGATTTCGGTGCGCTTTGCTTGGCCGATCGATCAGTCTTCTCTTTGCCAAGAGCGTCTTATGAGCGGCGCGTCAACGCCGACGACTGTTCAGTGCGGACGCCATGCAAGTTTGTCAGACAGCCGATTGCGCCACTTGTACGTCCGCTAACAAGACCACAAGTCAACGACATGTGAGGTTCATCTCACGGAACGTGCATCAGCATGTGAATTTCCGGTATATGTCCTGGACTCATAACGCCTGCTCAGAAGCATGTCACTAAAGCTCAAGCTCGACATCATCATGATCTACCGATAAGTCACCTGGGGACTTGGTCCCTGTGTATGAGAAACAGGGTCCTACATCGACTATCGAGGCCGCATCTGACAGTACGATGATGAGCCACAAGATTACAACGTTGGCTTGGACCTCCAACGATCTCTGCAATTGCTGATTTGATAGTAAGATGGCAATAACTCACCGACGCAGTTGCGTACCTTGTGCCCATGACCTTTCGATTGGCGCAGGGTCTTGACCTTGGTTTCCGGAGGTACTGAGGACCGAGCATCTTCAATCTTAACTTTGCCCCGGTGGCTCGGGTAAAGCTTGAAAGCATTAAGGGGTTCACGGAAGTCAGGGATGTGATGGCATTGACGACACGTCCAGTCGGACCTTCCGAGATTGAGTGAACCTGTTCGTCCTTGTAGTCTCAACTCAAATTGTAGATGCTCACGGGTGTCGCTCGACTCATAGTCATGTCATGGCTTTCAAACAACAGACGATGCAGCTAGCATGCCGTTTACGGAAGCCCATTCAGGCAACTTCAACAAAGCGACAAAGTGCTTGATTGAAAAGGCGAGAAACGGGAAGTGGGCCTTGTCTTTCATGACCAGAAGACAGCCACTGGAAGTTGAAGCGTTATCGTCATGAACCGCTATCCCACCTTTGCAAGATGGTTCGATGACACCGGCGACCATCTTTATGCAGAGCTTGCCAAAGATCCAGGTATCAAGGCTATCGTAAACTCCAAAGATGGCTTGAAGGCATCTATCTTGGGGCTGTGGAAAGGGGGAAAACCCCGAGCTTGGCTCGCTTGGGCCAAGGCGCGTATTCCTCACTGAACTCGCCGTGTCACCTAGGGTAGACTTGGTACTGGAATGGAGGGAGGGCTTTCTGCTGTTTTTACTTCACTTCGATAGTTGGGGATTGCTACAAGCAAACAAAACTGGCAAGATCCTTACACAGAACGGAGGATAGATGAAAACTCTTGGCAGGGGGGAGAGGATATTAGACATTGGGGCGGTGTTCTTGGTATGCTTGACGCGTGCAGAGACGCCCAAGAGACAGACGGAACGCAGGCGGGCGACGAAAGCCGGCGAAGGTGACATGGGCAAATGACTTTTCGCTGGGCAAATCGTGGCATTTTGGCGAGCTCCATTTCATAGCTGGTGGGGCCCGCACCGCGGCAGCCAATGAAACCAGCCCCAATCCGAGTGTGCGTCAACGGGTAAGGTACGTACCTGCTCTGGTTGACGAACGGGAGAGGAAGGGACAAGGAAGAGAGGGAAGGGAGGAATAACTGCCGGGCGGGCGTTGCAGGCTGCTTCAGCGGCTCCAAGTACTCTCCCACCTAGCGTGGGCGTGCAGGTACATGGCCTCCAGGTAGTGTAGCGTAGGGAACAATCTGCTCCGGCACGTCCAGCCCGTCCTCCTTCCACATCACGACGGTCGCTTTGCGTGGTGTTCTCCCTAGCGGAGTATCTCCCCTAGCATTTTCTGCGGTATGATACCTCCTGCGTTCCACCCGCAATATGGGCGTTGCCGAAGGCTCCGGCGCTCATCACGCAGCGAAGCCACATTGCGAGGCCCGTTAGCCGTGGGTGTGTTTCTGTCTCTCCTTTCTTCTTACACGAGTCTCAATTTCTGGCAACCTCTCTTTTTCTTTATTTTCTCTTCCCTTCATCTACATCGCCCATCGCCTCCCCGACAACCCGTCTCGACCGAGAACAGAGCCTCCCGTCCCGCCCTGCGTCCAAGGTTCCCGTCCGCCGTCCCATCCCCAAAGGGATAAGCGACCACCACGACGACCACCCGACAAACTCTCAGACCCCCTGGCCGCGACCGTTCCACCCCGTCTCTCGTCCCCACGCTTCGACGCACGTAGGCATTCGCTTGCTCTACCGCCCAGCAATCCAACCGTCCCATCGTGTCGTACGGTTGCTGACCAACCCCGACTCTCCTTAACTTACCAGACACCACGACCCTCGTACGCTTCGTCCGAACCTCGCCAATTGCGTCGCTACGCCGTGACGCCGCCCCGCTCGCCAGGCTCAAGTCTGTGACACGTCTGGCTCCAGCGCCCGACAGCAGCACAGGGGAGACGCTTCTACCATTTCGAAACGCCCGTCATGGCGCGGGACACGTTTTCTACGGCCTCGTCGCCGCTGAAATCTCCCTCCTTGCTCGCTGCTGCAGCATTCATCATCACATCTCTCCCCATGGCTCTCGGTCACGAACACGGCGTCAGCCACATCCAGGAGGGCGAGACCATCTCGCAGGAACCTATAGTAAGCGACAAACGACTCCCATCGCCGACCGATGAGGCGCCGGCCAAAAAAACACGTCAAGGACACGAGACGCTGACTGCGGTCACAGGACACTATACTATGGATACACATCTTCATCATGATGCTGGCCTTCGGGGTCATCTTCCCCGTCGGCATGGTGCTGGGAGTACGTGGCCAAACCTCCCCACCCCATCACTACCTTGACGGTTTCGCGCGATTACTGACGATTTGCCCTCCCTTTTCCAGATGACGAAGAACCGCTGGCACGTTCCGACTCAAGTCCTCGGATCCGCTCTCGCCATTCTCGGCTACTTCCTCGGCCACATGCATGGCGGTCGACAGTTCCTCCCTCATAACGTTCACTCCTCTTTTGCCACCTGGCTCATGATCATTATGGCTACCCAGGTCGGTTTGGGTATCTACCTGAGGCTGCATCTTGAGAAGGGCATCAACGGTCGCATCCGCCGATTCATCAAACCCGCCCACAGCATCTTGGGCAAGGCCTCCCCCGTTCTGGCTTGGACGCAGTTCTTGTTTGGAGGCATTACCTCCTTGGGCTTCTGTCAAGCCGACCACTTCGGTCAATGCCTGGCGCATTTCATCATGGGCAGCGCTTTCATCGCTTACGGAATCATCTTGACCCTGCTGCTGCTCGTCGGACAACTCTGGATTCGTCGCAGCGGCAGGTCGCAGGAGTTCTTCGACAGCATTGTTATCGCGGCATGGGGCTGCGTCAACACCTTCACTGAGCACCGATGGGGCACGGCATGGGTCAGGAACGATTGGCAGCACACCACTATGGGTATCATCTGGTGGTGCGCCGGTCTGGTTGGTATCTGGCTCAGCCGCGACCGCGACGGCAACCCCAAGCGTAACTTCATCCCCGGCTTTGTCATCGGCGTCACTGGTTGGGCCATGTCTGCGCACCCTCAGGACCTTCCCATCAGCGCCATGACCCACAACATGTTCGGCAAGACCCTGATGGGAGTTGGTATCACTCGTGTCATTGAGGTGGCCTTTGTCGTTAAGGACGCCACGGGAGTTTCGGCTGATGGGCGCCAGACAAACAGCTGGCAGTTCATTCCTGTTTTCGTAAGTCGCCGTCACCTGCATCGCATCTTCGCATGTGCAAGCAAAAACTAACTCTTCTCAGCTTCTGTACGCGTCTGGATTCCTCTTCATGGGTGCCACCGAGGAGCAGATGGCTCTTGTCGCCAACTCTGGCCTCGACCACGTCTCTTACATTCTTATTCTGTACTCCTTCGCGTTCCTGCTCTTCCTCTTCACCATGATGCTCATCCACCTCTTCGACCGAAACGCCAACACGGACGGCAAAGTCGCCTTGGCCAACGGCGCACCGGTGCCCAACGGCCGTCCTGGAGAAAACCGTCAGGTGCGCGACGCCGAGGAGTTCGAACTCGAGGGGCTCATGAGCGATGACGAGGACGAGGCGCGCAAGGGCCTCAGGGAGGACACCGACGACGACCAAGTTCTGGGAAGTCCGAGCAGTCCCAGCACGATCGGCAAGAACAGCGACCGAGTAGCGCGGTGAGGGGGAGGCATAAGCACTTGGTTTATGGGCATTGAATGAATAGACAGGGACAGCACATCTCGCATTCAGGTTTGGCGTTTGGTTCCGGGAATGCTTACTTATTTGTAACGGGCTGGGCAGCGTCTGAAAAGAACAAGAATCTTGCATTTGCAGAGTTTTGAGAGTAACGCCGCCTTCTACCAAAGGCCTAATCTGCCGATCACGACATACACTTTACCGGGGAAGCTAAATTTTTGTCTGGTAGACAGGTGCAGTAATAGAGAAGCAATACTCGGCACGAAGCCTCGTCTAGACTTTGAAGTTCAATCCTGGTGTTCCCCTACCCCTGAGTGCAACGTTTGATCTTGATTTACCTCGGTGTGTGCCGGCCGGGCTTCGGTGTAGACAGTGGGGGGGACGAGGGGCATGTGGGACACGCCCGGACCCCCGCCGTAGCCTGCATCCCGCTAGCTCCACTAAAAAAATTCCCAGAGTGGTCGACCCTTCAATCGCATTTCGTCCTCCCGCCGCAACCCTCAACCAGTCCTCTTTCCTTTGCAACCTTCCACATCCGCCCGCTCCTCCCGAATAACCCGAAAAGGAAGAAAAGCAGACAACACAGCCAAGATGCCTTCCGTCAAGAACCCCAACGGCCCGTCCAAGAACCGCCTGGCGAACCGGGCCCTCGGCGCCAAGATGGAGCGCAGGAAGAAGTCGGAGGCGAACCGGAACAAGATTGCAAAGACGGACGCCATGCGCGGCGCGAGGCCCGGCCTGGCACCCACGAGCGGGCCCAACGCGCCCCTGAGCAAGAAGAAGGCCAAGAAGCTGGAGAAACGGATCGCGCACGCCCTGAGGCGGAAGATGGCGGCCGAGGGAGAGGTTGTCATGAAGGGTGAGCGAGCGCTTCCTCCCGGGAGGGACGAGCTGGTGGGGGGTGTGTTCCGAGGCTAACGTTTTGCAGATGTCGAGGTGGCTGAAGATGACAAGCCCGAAGGGGTCGACATGGAGACGGAGAAGATCGAATAGGCGCGGATCGAGAAGGGAGGTTGGTAGGAGAAAGAGATCGTCTGAGGTTCTTTGGCTCGGGCGTGGATATCGGGATGGTATGGTCCAAGGGGGCAGTCACGGTCATGCTTCGTAAGTTGACTCTTCATTCTCACCAGGAGTAGCCTCAAACTAACCCGCCCCAGTCTAGAGTTGCAAAACGCAGACGAACTCGGCCCCAAATACAAACGAATTGATACCCCAAAATGAATACACAATGTCCATAACTACTGATAGACACATCTCGTGAACCGCCGGTTCTAAACATTGCTCGCGGTGCTTCTAATCTCTTCTAGAGCCGTCCTCCTGCCCAAAGCCATCGTAGTGGTAGGTAGCGCAGCGTGGTGACGCTGAGGTTACTTGAACCTGAGGTTATACGGGTGTTGCGTGTGAGAACCCATCAGAGGCGACTCATCGCCCCGACGCTGTGGAAGTCCAGTCGGCCAAGAGAACTCGCTGCTGTACACGGATCCGGACCACGGGCTAGGCATCGGTGTATCTCCGTGGCCCCTGAACCGCAATTCCGGATTGTGGCATGTGATCGAGTCCTTCACCAGCCTCCTGATGTCCTCTTCTCCCATGGCCGCCCAGGCGCCCTCATCCGACGCTTCCTCCTCGATCAGGGCCTCCGCCCCAGCCTTCCGCCACTGCCGGAACAGCGTCTTGACTTGCCTCACGGCGCGGTCCTGCTGCGCCTCGCCCAGGAACGGGTTGTTGATCTCGCTCGTGGCGTCCGCCGCCTTGAAGTCGTCGCTGATCTCCGGCGTGCCCGCGAACGACGGCACGCGGCCAAAGAAGCGATCCTGCAAGATGGCCTGGCGGAGGATGCTGGTCCGGCCGAGCTCTGCGGCGATACGGCGCTCCGAGAGGCGGGATTGGCGCTCAAAGTGCGTGAGGAGCGCGTTTGTGTCAAGGCCGCGGATGATGTCGGACTTGTTGAGGCTGTGGTCGTGCCGATTGGACTTGGAGAGGTCAGGGGTGGATGAGAACGGGGACGGGGACGGGGAGAAGAGGGCACGAACGACCGAGTCGCTGATGCTGACGGTTGAAGGGGTGTTGATTGGGGTGCTGGAGGCGTGGGAGGCATGGGAATGGGAGTCTTCCCGGCGATTGTCCTTGGATGCGGAGGAGATGGAATCCCCGAAAAGGCTTCTCTTGGATTCTTCGGTGCTCCGCCTCCATCCCTCCAGCTGTTTGTTCCACTTCTCAGCATAGCGGCCTTGGCTAGACTGCGTCATGTAGTCATAGTTGGACTCGGCAGGTGACTCTGGTCGGGACAGGCCCTCGTCTCCCAGCGGACCTCCAAGGCACAGGGAAGCCAGGCCGCAGACGGTTTCGAGGGCATCCTCCCACCCGTCGAGGTAATTCCGCTGACCTGTCGTAATGGGCTCGATGGTTGAATGGGCATCGATCTCGTCTCTAAACACCTCGCAGACCTGTTGGAGGAGATAGCGAGCGAAGTCGCAGTCGCCTTCGTCTTCGGCCAACTCGATGAGTCTGCTATATACGGCATCATGGACCCTGACGGTGCGGTCGCCGGAGCTGACGGCAACGTGGCGGTTAAAGGTGAACAACGGATCGCGCCTGGTGAATGACATCTTGCTCGTCGGTTTGTTGTTTCGTAGAGGGGAATTAAGCGCGGGACAAGTTTCGTAGAGATGTTAAGGAGACACATCTGAGGTCGGGTTCTGCGTGGTGATGGGCACCTTTTAGCTGTTGAGCAAAGTTGATCGAGCCAGATGTGGCCATTGCGAGGTGTCTTCCAACCATTCTGGTTTCTTCGAAGACGTTCTGAATCATGCAAGGCCATGAAGCTGTGACGTGTTTGATTGTTCTATCTGCGAGCCGGCCTTGAAAGGCCACATTGATGCGTGATGCATCAGGTCTGCACCACAAAGCCGCACACCTCGTAGGATGAGGGGCGATATATGACAGCTCGAGGCTTCCCACTCTGAGTTCTACTGACCTAGAGAGATACAAAGGCCCATGGCGAATTTCTTTACCAATATGGAAGAGGCCGTGCACATCGCAGTCCCAGAGACCAGTCTCCGTGAGAATCATCTATGATCCAAAGTTTTGCCCTGCTCCTGTCCTGTCCTTTCTTATCAACACCTATGGACAAAGTATATGGACAAAGAAAGCTAAGTCTACGTTCGACTGGTTCAAGTAAAATGGAGATACGGAGCAGTATCAGAGAAGGTTGGCGACGCTCTTCGATACACATTCCATCAACGAAGAAGCGAAGCCATCGTCACATCCCCCAAGGTATCTTCGCCCCAGGCATCTTCGCCCCAAGGCCCAACCCCCGGTCCTTTGAAGATCTTACCACCCTTCCAAACCCAGCCGATATTGTCAACTTGTTGCAATACCTTGACATCTTCCACCGGATTCTCCAGCAGTCCAATGACATCCGCCTCATACCCGACCTTCAATTGCCCCGTCTTCGGCGCCTGTGCACCCACGCTCAGCGGCCCGTTCGCCGTCGCCGCCTTGATCGCCTCTAGGTTGCTCATCCCAGCCTTGACAGCGGACTCCAGCTCCATCGCCATGTTGAACCCCGGCCCTGTATCCGTGCCAAGAGCAACCTGCACGCCAGACTCAATGGCCATCTTGTATGCCGTCATGTGGTTCTTCGCCACCAGTTTTGCCTTCTCCCACGTCGTAGGAGGAATTCCCTTGCCCCCCGTGCTGAGTAGCAAATCCGTGACCACACGTGTGGCAATGTAGACAATGCCTTTCTCCTTGATCAGGTCGATGCACTCGCGGTCCGCGAAGGAGACGTGTTCCACGGTCGTAACGCCCGCCTTGATGGCTGCCAGGATCCCAGGCTTGCCGTGGACGTGCGCTGCAACAACGCGGTTCTGCCTCGTCGCCTCCTCCACGATGGTTTCGAGCTCCGCCGCGCTGAATTGGGCGGTGAGCGGGTTGTCGTCGCGGGACATGACGCCGCCGGAGGCCAAGACTTTGATGCACTTTGCGCCACGCCGAATCTGCAGCCGTACTGCGCGGCGGCACTCGTCGACGCCGTCCACAATCATGCTCGCTGTTGTGCCAAAGTGACCCGGCGTGATTTGCGACACGCCGAGGTTGAGCAGGACGTCTCCCGCGGGAAGGGAGAAGATATCGCCGTGGCCACCCAGTTGGCTCAGGCACGCCCCGGAGCTGTAGACGTTGGGTCCCACGATGGTGCCATCCTCAATCGCGCGAGAGACTTCGCAGCCCAGACCCGCCACATCGCGCAGCGACGTATACCCCCGCTGCAGAGCCAACCAGCACCCGCGCGTGAGGCGGGCGCCGGAAGCGGCGGGGTGCTCGGTGATGAAGCTTTGGTACGGGTCGCCGCCCCCGCTGCCATCGGGGGATTCGCCGCCAAAGTGAGCGTGGCAATCCCATAGGCCCGGCATGAGATAAGGCACCGTGTAGGACCTGTGAGGAGAGTCGGTGTATTTCGAAGGGAGGGAGGATTGCGCCCCTACCCAGGCGATCACCTTCGAGGATATAACGAGGGCAGCATCTTTAAGCGGCTCGCCGTCACCGGGGATGAGGAGGGAAGTCTTGATGATTATGAGTGTAATCTTCTTGGTGGGTGCGATAGGAGGTTCGGGGGTGTCGGTGTAGTTTGGTCTGAAGGAGCCGCCCATTGCAGGGGAATAGATGCAGGCCGGCCTTTCAATGAGCCGTCGAGTCATTTTGTTTGTCGTCAACAGGAAGCCTAGGTTTTGAGGGTTCTTAGGTCAAGGGGTTGACGTGGCCCTTCGATTGGAATTGCAAACCTTTTATACGTCCTGGTCCTCTGCGCCGCATTGGTTTTGGCCTAAGCTTTTTCTGTCCGTTTCGTACAAGGAGTAATCCTTATTTTTTATCGGGACAACGAACCACACCGTGGGCCTGATTGGGAAGGTCGCCGTTTGTCGTCTCCGGGTCCCTTCCCGATAAGGATACATGGGGAAATACTTTGCCGCATATCCGTGCTATAGGCAACTGGACGCTATGCTGCGGGTAAGCAAGCGAGGGGCATCGCACGCTCTTGCTGACCAGAGCTTACGTCTCAGCATCCTGGATGGGACGGCTAGTGGGGCAGGTAAGAGTGAGATGGGTCCTGACAAGACTGTGGTGCTGCTAGGGATCTCGTCCTGCAAATATAGACTCGCAGTGTTTATGTAGGCTCATAAATCTCCGCTGGTACGTCAAGGCCAAACTCAGCCCCAGGATTTAGAGCTTGGTCTAGAAGCAATGTCCTACAATCCTACCGTAGGCCCTATGCGAGGCCTATTCTTGTCGATTGACAGTTGCTAAGGCCATCTGCAAGCTTTGCAATCCGAAACGCATGGTGCACCCAAGGCAGCCGCTTGACGGTGATGTGGATAAGAACGAAAGGACTGGTTTGGGCAGAATGATCATCAAATGCATGACAGACCTTTTTGAACTGTAACGAAAGTGAGCTACGTACGGAACAAATACATATCTCTTGCAGCGCCATTGTCCAGCCGCTTGGCTCCCTGTTGGCCAGACGCTATCTCAAATGGACAATCGGTCTCTAAAGACTTAAATGATTCTTGACTTCACTTACTCTACATGTTTCATACTTTCAGTAGATAGAGTACCAAACATTGAGTGAAGAAATATGGTGGCTTTCCTTCACCGATGGCTCATGATTATCAAAGTTTGTGGTAAAGAGACTTCAGCCACACAAGATGCGACTTTACTGGGGCAGCGGAAAAGGGTATCGTGATTTTACGGTATTCTAAAAGATATCTTGTGACAGTGATGACTATCTACAAGATACTCCTCTGTTTCAAATTTACCACAGCTTCCAGTATGTTTAATATGAGGCTAGACGGGCCCCAGATGAGTCAAACTTACACAAGACCGCCCCGAGTACTCAAGATGGCCACTGAAGAACGAGAAGTCTTAGAGTTGTGTCACTGATCATCCCGAAACTTACCATGCATGTTTGATCGCAGCTTTGTATATCTATTGCGTGTTCGATCGGTTATAGTCAGACGTAAGACTTTAAAATTGGAAGTGACTTCATCTATCAAAGATATATATCTAACACGAAGGTTGACTAGTGTAGGCCAATTTACCATAGACCAATCGACTTCGCAGATGACGACCGGTCTCGTAAAACGAGGTTGTCTGGGAAGGCGTTCAGCTGTGGCGAGATAGTGAATAGTAGCTCCACGTTGCTCTGCAATAGTGGCCGTAATGATAAAGCTAAAGAGCAATCTAGTCTGCAGTACCTACGGGGTTGCCAAGGGGTCGAATCCAGTCAGTGGAGAGAACCTTGACGGTTCAAAGTGAAGAACCTATACTTTTCGAAATTGTAGACTTTTCAATTTTGCATGAAGCATTTCAAAAAGTTGGGAATAACGCAACCGCTTCCGTTGGCAGAGACAGGAAGCCAAACTGCGCCCACAGCCTTGGGCTTTCTGGGCGTTGGCTTCACACAACATGATGGTTCAAAGATACAGGCTGAGAGAAAGAACTGCATTGCTAATCATGTGTCTTGGGATCCTGCTGGTCTCATAAAAAGCTGTCTCAAAGGTATTAGCGGAGTTATTGCGGGACTATTGGGTGCCATTTTAGCCCGCAGACCCGGCCACTTCTCACTCCCAGTGTTATAACTAGGCAGCATTCATGGCATCTACATATGATTGGATGCCTCTCAAACATCATTCAAATACTAAACATGACGAGGCATAATAGAGCATTCTAGGAAATCCTGACTTGGGTCAATGTGATAAAGATCTAGGTAACGGTACCTACAGAAATAGCTATCTCGACCGACATGCCGTCCCAGCATGTTCTGACTACGTGAGCTCTCGAATCAGGACGCAACAGAAGCGCAGAACACCAATCGAGCAGTCGAGCATAAATTTTACCCCAAACAACATTTTCTAGGCCTAGAAGCTGGCATTCTTTGGCTGTGGCTGGGCCTGCGCGATCGTAAGACAGTTGCATGACCGTGATGGGAACGGTGATTAAGAGTGCATAGCCCCGTCGACAACTGGTGTTAGGAAAGTGACCGAAACGCTTGTTGGAATTCGTCAACAGGGGCCAGATGAGGCTACAGTAGCGACAGCTGAGACAGAGCTGGAGCTGAGTAACACCTTGCATATACCCAGATACAAGGCGTTCTTCGCGCAGTGTAATGAGAACGGTCGCGAGTAACCAAGCATACCCCTTTTCTTTACGGATTGAGATTATTACGAATTTGTTTTTGGCACCACGCTCCCTCATACCACGCACACGCAGCATGACGGCAGGGAAGAGGTGCAAGGGTTTTCTGTATCAGCAGCAGAGCCGGTCACTTTGCCGCCCGGACATCCGCTTATCGAGCCCGTGCATGAGTTATTATACCTCGGTGGCGTTGGCGTTCCGCCATTAACCGCGAATGCCGTCAATCAATAACATTACGAGCGGTGCAAGTACACAAACAGCACACAGAACGGGTGCCACGGCTGAACGCCATGCATACCTGAAGCATGTCATACATGGCCGCATAGCGGGGCATAGCTTGCTCGAGGCAGATAGGCCGAGACGCCTTCTCATTTGATATCGAAATACGAGTATAAAATGTCAAGTAATTCCAAATCTTTGCGCTTCATCGAGAGCAACGGGCAGTCAACAGTATTGAGCCACATGGTCTTTTCTAAAGTTGGGCCGATTGAAGTTGGTTCATAGCATCAGCCATAGTGTAGGCTGTATTTTGGGTAGCTTTGGCCTCCAGCTAAAACACCTTACTTCGGATATCCACAACATCTAAGCTACCTAGGTATAAGAACAGCAACTCCCCTTGATTTTGCCTAGAAAATCTTCCAACTTACAAACTTTGACTATAACTATAATTGCTTTATAGTTACGAGAGGTTAACGGGTGCTGACGATCAGCGGTGCTTTTAACTGCTAGTGGCTACAATATTAGTAATGGACTGCTACGCCTAACCGTTGTAATTAACTGCTGTAGTGCTGCTGTAATTACAGTGCCGGGTCATTAGTCTGGCCACACCAATAAGGGCAACCAATCAACTAGCTGCGATTCCTCTTTTTGACCCACTTTTAGCCTAAGGCCATAACTATTATTACACTTCTATCTCACGCGCATACGCGTGCGCGTACGGCATCACACATCAGAATACCTCAACTGCCTATCGTTTTATTTCTTCACTATAGTATCTCAATAACGTTAATTTAGCCTTAAATTAACCTAAAATTAGAGAGCAAATCAAGAGCTTTCTACTGATACCCGTTCTATGATCCTTATACTTTATGCTAAAGGCAAAAATAAGAGCAAAATTATATACTAATTTAGTATTAACTATATAACCATATATCAAATAGTCTAATGATAAGAAGCAATCTCCTTAAACACATTATGCCTACAGGCTAACTAGCTTTAACGGCTAACTTCCTATTAAGAGCATTAATTTATCAAGATGCTCTTATGCTTCCTAAAGACCCTATAGAAAACCCTACTTGCTAAGTCTGAACTTTATGCTTCAAAAAGCACTTTATAGCATATTCTTTATTACCATGTTACGGTCAGATATCCGACAGTGGTGTTTTCTGCTAATAGGCAGCTGAGGTCGATACTCGGTAACAGTAAGGTAAGTCTTGTTGGTAATCTTGCTGGTCTGTTGGTGTCTGGTGATCAGTCAGGCACGTCTAGGCGTAGATAGCTTTATAGCTTCACAACAGAAGGATAATCTAAGAGTCACTTATGAGAGAGTGAATCACGAAGTTGATTGCTGAAGAGCTATGGAGAGTCTTTGAGCCCCAGGCTCAAGTCCTGTCTATATACTGATGTCTCCCTATCGTGATGCTGTTGATGGTGATCAACTAGAGTGGGTCCGGGGTGAGCTGCTCACTTGGTGATCGCTCCCAGTGATCACCTTATCTCTTGATCACTTTCTTATCATCACGTGATCTGTCCATAGTTCTTCCGTTCCGACCCTTGCCCGTAAGCGCCGTGATCATGCATACATGAGCCCGAATGTCCCCTGGTCCCTCGTGGGTTCGTTCCAGGTGGTTACGTTAACCAACGCTTTCCTGGGTCGTAACATCAGGTCTCCCCTCCAAAGGTCTAGCCCCTTAGACCTATATAGGTAAGTGGGTTCCCGCCGCGGGCTGTCCCTGGGTTTATCTCATTCTCATCTTTCTTCCACCATGTCGTTGGTGACTAATGCGGCAGAGTCAGACACTCTTAAATCTGGCAAGGCTTCTTCCACCAAGCGCCGTCTCGCGGATTCCTTGAGGATTCGTGAACACGGAATTGAAATCGAAATGCCGTGTAGTTGGTGTCGTTCCAAGGGGATCCGTTGCAAGATGCTTGCGGGTTTCCAGAAGTGTCAAGAGTGTACTCGCCGGGGTCGCTCTTGTGATGGGGATGATAATGCGATTTGCGAATGTGAGTGTTTTTCGTGGTTCCGAGGTGTGTGGCTTTCTAATGATCGTAGTGGATCGTTTGCTGAATGAAGCCGATCGTCTGGATAAGGCTGAAGAGCAGGAGGAAGAGTTGCTTCGTCAGAAGGCGGAGTTACTGCGAAAGCAAGCAGAACTGTTCCGTCTTGCGCAGGCGGAGATGGATGCGTCTCTTGCCCGGCTCGATCGTTTACGTAAAGAGAAACGGATGATTTTCA